CTTCAGGTCTGACTGGCCTGGCTCCCATGACTTTAGACTCAAAACACTTTTTGGGAAGATTTCGACACACTACAATGAGCTGGGAATCTTGAGTGAACATAAAATCAGGAGATTTCCCATGTCTGCCTTTTGCAATGTCAAGGCTAAGTGGGACAACTTTCCATCCTTGTCTGGGATTAAAGCCAAGCAGTGCAGGTGGCTAGTTCCTGTCTTTCTGCAGATTTGTGCAGAGTACAGGGATCCAGCAGATTCTTATTCTGAACACAGGTATCAATGCCTGAAGCACTTGAACTGTGTCTATGAGGTTATGGACAATGCTGGTTTACATCCTTCATCCAATGATGCAAAGGCTTTCAGGAAGAACATGGACAATTGCCTCCTGCATTACTCCAGACTCTCAGTCATGAGCATGAACTCGGGAGTCCTCATGTGGAACACTATACCCAAAATGCACTGGGCACAACACCTGCACATCTTCTTCAAGTGGTATAATCCAAAATTTTACTCTTGCTACCAAGGGGAAACCATGGTAGGGCACATCAGTGCCCTTGCTCATGCCACCCTCAATGGAACTCCAGGGTGGCAAGTACCATTGAAAGTGTGCTGGAGGTTCAGGCTGGCATTTCACCTGAGAAACAAAGGTGCACACTTTGCATGCGCAGCTTCTGACAGTGAAGACTAAAGTCTTGCAAAAGGCATTGGGCCTGTCAAAGGGCGTTGGCCCTGCAAAAGGGCTTTGTGCTTTTGCTGTGCCCTCTGTTGTGGTTAAAAAAGGTGTACATATGAGTCAGCACAACTTGGCAAGTTTGTCCAAAAACCATCAGAGCTTATTGGTTAAACCAATAAGGAACCTTATTGGTCACTCCTCAAAAGTTATTGGTTGCTCCAATAAAGGATGAAAAAGCACAAACCAATAACATCATTGATTTTATTGGTTTCTAGTCACATTATTGAAATTAGCGTTTTTTATTGATTCTTTCCAATAAGGCGCTCTCTGGGTTTGGTTCTTCTGAACCTGGAAGTCGGACGCCTTGTCAACTGCCTTGTCGATACTTGGGTTGACCCTGAACAAGTATGCCAATGGGCACCGTAGGAGCATAGACTGTAACGCATTTTGAAACCTGAACTTGTGAATCTGCACCAGCACATAGACTGTACTTTAGGTACCCCGACAAACTTTGACCTGCGTGACCTACCACAGTTCATTCTTGGGAGGCCTTCAATCAAGCGTTCCCAACCTTACGCCTTACGCTACAGTTGAGGGGCACTCGGCGACGATGAACATGAAGCAGTTGAAGATTGTCAGGACGCGGTCCATGATGAAGTAGCGCAAGGCCTAGGGCCATGAACTTCTGCTGGGGCACATCCTTCTGAAGTCACAGTGGTCCATGAATGAAAACAAAGGCACACACACACTTGAGAAGGTTGCTCCGTGGAGCGTGATTTCAGGTAGCTTCGCGGTGTGCATTAGCCCTTTAAATCTAGATACTGCAGGTAACAACGTATGAGACGGCGTTGCACTGACTTAGAAATCTCAAACAATTGGAAAATTGCAGGTACGTGAGAGTGATCAGCTCTCATATCCCGTGCGTCAGGTAGCTTCGTTGGACATGGTCCCTGAACGCACGCTATGTCCCCCTGCTTCTGTACAGAAAAGCTTGTAGGGTAGATTAGTAAAGAAAAACTAGAGTAGTGTCCTTGGAAACAGGAGTGGACACACACACTGAGCCGTATCGGCGCAACTAGATCGGATCAGGTAGGGCCTGGATAACAAATAGTGGAAGTGCTTGACATTGAAAGGTTCAATACAGTAAAATACATATCACAGCAGTCTGCGAAAGTGCTGGCACATAGTCTTTTTCCTCTTGGCCGCAGCGCCGCGGCGCAGTGTGCTGGTGAATGGCCTTTGGCCATATATAGCTGCATCAACTTCTGTGCTGTCGTGTGTGCAAGATGTTTTGGGTAAGTGTATTTTTGTAGTGTGTGGTGGCGTGATTGTAAGCCTGAAAGGCGTAGTCTGTGACTCCCTGCTGACTGCGGATCACGAATCTGCCAGGAATGGGTGGGGAGTTGGAAGGTGACTGTTCTGTTGAGAGGGTCAATCAAGAAACCGAGTAGATGGTCGTCGTCCACTGGCTCTATTTCAACTGGTTGTTCATAAAATTCAGGATGGGCCAATGTAGTGATGGGGAGTGCTGATCTGTATTGTTCGTTGAGCAAGATGTATCGGTTGTCGACATAGCGAGTGTTGAGCAAGTGAAGGCTTGGTTGGTGTAAGAAGTTGTGGTATGTGGTTTGCCAAGTGTGTTCGATGAGCGTGATTGCCACATTGCAAAGTGCTGGTGAGAGCTGACTGCCGATGCCGGCTCCTTGAATTTGTTTGTAGTAGGTGTTGCAAGCTTGGAAAATGCATGAGTGAAGAGCTTGTTGAACGATAAGAGGAATGTGTTGTGTGTCAAGTGTGCGTTGCTGTGGGTGGTGGATGTAGTGGCGACCGATGTGTGAGTGTTGGATGGGATTGCCGGTGGACTGAACATCGATGGTGATGGTAGTGGTGTTGTGTTGTGCTTTCCAGCGGTGGCACAGGCTGATGACTGCATCGACAAGGCGTTGTTGAGGTACGCTGTTGAAGAAGCCGACCAGGTCGTCGTTGATCGGTGTGAGGTGGATGTCTTCGGGTGTGGTCCGGAAATGGTTGTGGAGGTGTTGCCAAAGGTTGGGTATAGATAACTGGCCTGGATGTTGTGGTAGAAGATGAAGGAGCATAATGTCTAGTGCTTTGGAGGTGGCTCGTAATAATGTGCCCGCAATGGATCTGAAATAGCTGATGACTGTTCTACCCTTTCGCCAGGATTTCTTTTGTTTGAGGAAAACTACTCCATGTGGTGTGTAGAATTTTGTGCGGAAGCCCCAGGGGTATGCTTTGCGAATGCTGGCTGGGAAAGATTGTGTGAGAAATTGGTGGAGTTGTTGGGCTGTGAGATCTGGTAGTGGGAGAAAAAGTTGTGGTGTATTCCATGTGGTGAGACATCCGTGGAAGTAGTGCTGTGGGCAAAAGAGTCGTAGGTTTTGTAGTTCATGGTCAGCATGATGGAGTACCAGCTTGTCTGTAAGAAACTGTTGAAGCTGTGTGACGTTGCGGGATGTAAAGCGGGGTGTGTATAGAAGATTGTCGATGTGTTGTTTCCATTGTTGGTGTAGAAAAGGTAGGCTGTGTTGATGGAGGGCTGTGGGTAGACCATGGTGTCGTAGCCAGGATGTGAGTTGTTGTTCAAAGTGTTGGAAATATTGTGTCTTTGTGGGAAAGAAAGTGCTGTTCATGTTGGCTTGAAGGAATAGCTCAAGATGGCTGGGGAGCTGTAGGTCTTCAAGTGTGAGCACGTAGTGACCATCGTAGAGCGGCGGTGTGTGGTTGGGACGAAGCAAGGTGTGCATGTGGTGGCAGCTGCATGGCATGTCAGCTGCTGTGGGATGTGTGGAGAAGAGTTCTTCCCAACGTTTGTGGTTGTAGAGTCGGGAACGCAAAGTCTTGTGTGCTGCTTCGCGTAGTTTGGTAGTAGGGGGGTGGAAGGGAATGACGTGATGCATGTGGTGTTGGATCAGTGTGCGAAGCCATTTTTCCGTGGAAGACGAGAAGGTACTGTGGGAGAGGAAAGGAATGGTAAAGGGTTTGTTGGCTTTGGGTGGAGTGAGATTGCGAAAGCTGAGCGCTGAGTGGAGAAGGTGAAGAACACGTGATCGATCCGGTTCCTCTAAGCTGGCGGCCATTCGACGGAAGGCGTAAATTTCGAGATCAGTGTATTTGCCGCTGCGGATGGCTGTTGATGTTTGAAAAGATGAAAGTGTATGCTTGCTGAGCTCGCGTAAAACTGTCAGGGCGTGTAGGCGTTGACTTGTGTGAAGGTGGGGTTGTTTAATGGTGTGTTGTCGTCGTCGTAGCCGTTGGAAGAGACGTTTGTGAGTGGACATCCGTGTGAAAGTGGTGCGGTGTTTTGAGAATTGCCAACCTGAGGCTTTGAGTTTGAGGTGTCGTTGGATATAGGGCCAATTGAGTGTAGGTTGCCATTCTTGGATCCGCAGGTGTTCGTAGGTCCATGCTTGATCATAGGTGTCGTGATGGGAAAGGTAAATAGTGCTGTAGTGGTGGAGGTTGTTCTTGGAGTGCCAGTAGCGTAGAGAAAGTTCAGCTGAAATTGGGTGGTTATTGTGTAATTGTTTGAGTTTGGCGTGACGATTGTATTCTCGCTTGGGGATAGTGATGCTGGTAGAGCCGATGTATGTATGTCCATGTTGGTGGTACTGGTGTCTTGTGTGATGTTGGTTGAAAAAGAGCTTGGCATAGACCGCATTGGGATGTGTGAACATTTGGTAGTGATAAGTGTGTGGTGTAACTTGTAGTTGGTTGAAACGGGAGCGCCATTGTATAGAGTGATGTGTTTGCGAAGGAAAGGCAAAGAGGCATGTAAGGTGAATAAGACTGACAGAAAAAATAGCGTGTGACTTGTCAATGTAGGGGGTGGAATGGACAAAGTGTGATAGCGCTGTGTGTAATGTTGTCAAAGATTGTAGGGTGTGATGTGTTGGTTAATGCAGCGCTTGTTGTACGAGTCAGGCTGCCAATGCCGAACCCGCGGCCACCAGTTGCTGTAGTGAACGTGGGGGAAGCTTGAGGACCCGAGCAAGCGGGATGCCGTAGCGGGTAGCTGCTTCTTGGAGTTGTTCTTTTGTGATATGTTCATCTCGAAGAATCTGCTGGATGTTGGTGACTTGTGTCTGAGTGGCTGGTGGTAATGTCTTGAGCCATTTTTGAATGCCGGCTGCTGCATAGTTGGCTGGTGAGTTGTCATGGAGTGTTTGTGTGGTGGGATTAAGAATGGTGGTGGTTGTGATGGCGGCAGGGGCTGGGAGTGGGAGATGTGGTGTGTGGGTGACGGATGATGGGGCATGGTGTGACCCTGGCTTGGTTGGTGTAAGTGCAATGCCATGATTCTTCAGCTTGTCGCGAGCGCGCTGGAGTTCGCTCTCTTGTTGTTGTAAGCGATCTGTCTGTTGCTGGAGCTTTCGGAGTGCTGTGCCTTCGCCGGCTGGTGGTGTAAGGCCTCGTAGGAAGTCAATGATGCGAGAAATAAGAGGTTGCATGAATTGTTTGGCTTCTGTGGTTTTGTTTGGAATGGACTGATCTGCTTGTTGGTGCAAATATTCAGCGATGTTGTCGATGTCCAGGTTGTGGGCCCTCATCTCCGGTAGCAATTGTGAAGTGAAGACCGCCTCCGCGATAGATCTGGTGGTGACAATGCCTGTGTAGCGTCCTTGGGACAGGATGCGTAGGCTGTGGTCCTGGAGGCCAAAACGGCTGAGCTGCCATGGAAAAATATCGAGGACTTGTTGTCCTGCGAGGTTGTATTTCCTGGACCATTGCGTCGGCTGAATCGTCCGAAACAATGTGTGACCATGTACGGTATTCGTATCCAAATGTGTGTCGCTGGGAGTCCATGTGTCAGGTAGGTTGGGGATGTTGGGGGGTACCACTCCAAGCTGTGGAGGCGTTGGGTGGTGAGATGCTGCGGGTGGGGGTAGGGGTTCGGGTGGAAATGTTGCTGGTGGTGCTGGAGAGGCAGTGGGTGGATCAGCTGGGATGTTGGCGTGATGTTGATGATGTTGGTGATACGGGTGTTGGTAGTGATGACGAACTGCATTGGTGAGAGGTCCATAGCCGGCAGTGGGTATCGTGGTGCCATAGTATTGTTGCCACCATTGTTGATGCGCGTCCATGATGGGAAACACTGTAGTTCTGTACAAGAAGGAGCAATAAGCACGAAGGTAGTCGAAACTGATTGTTTGAACCACAATGGCTGAAAAGTTGAAAAATTGAGACTGGAGAAAAGTCAAAATTGTGACTTGCAAAGTCGGTCAAAGCTCGAGTGGCAAGCGTCAGAAAAACGAAAATCAGAAATCTCGAAGAGCAAAATAAGTACGAACATAGAATCAATACTGAAAGTATTTTTCATAGCTGGAAGGGTCAGTACGCTGGAGGCATTGGGTCAAAAACCATGTACATAGAATCAAAGACCTTGTATTAGGTCTGGCGCTCTCTCACGGTGGCGCTCCAGCATCATCCCACCAGGGTCCCGGAGGTCCCGTGCCCGCTTCTGGATGATTGGGTCGTATGTTGGTGGGTGTCGGCGGGCAATAAATGGTGGGTGTGCTGTTGGATGGAGATGCGAGTGGTGCGGAGATCGGCCCGATAGCTGTCAGTGTGGCTTGTCCTTGTAGGGGAATGCGGATGTTGTAAACTTGGGTAGGGTCGCATTGCTGTGGGAAAGTGTGTGGTGATGG